GAGGCTCACGCCGTCGCAGCTGTGCTCGCCAGCTATGAGCCCAGCGTCTGCCACTCGTCAGTCAGCTGAGTGGCTCTCGCACTGTGGGAGCGCACTGACTGCCAGGGGGCAGCTCCTGTGTTGAGCATCTGCCCCTGGAGGTCAGTGTGTGTCATAGTGACCAAATGGTCACATAGGCTTTTATTTACTAGGTGTAGTTACACATATGTTGATATATATGTGGTTTGATATGTATGCTATTTTGTTGTATTGACAACAAGCTTCAAAACTTATGTCAAATTTGCTGAAGGTGTTAACATCATAGATATTTTCACACTTAAAAATGTCGAATTTCATGCCAAAAGAGCATTTGCGGCAAGTTTTAATTCATTATTTTGAAGAAAAGTGCTGCTGAATATTTCGGGAAGCTTAAGGTGAACATGCTCCATCTCAAGATACTGTGAACACTGGTTTAAACACTTTAAAAGTGATGATTTCGATATCAAAGACAAGAACGTCCAGGTCAACCAAAAAATTTTGAAGACTAACAATTACAAGCATTATTGGATGAAGATTTGTGTCAAACTCAAAAACAACTTGCAGAAAGATTAAATGCTGCTCAGCAACCAATTTCCAATCGTGTACAAACAATGGGAAAGATTTAAAAGGAAAGAAAATGGGTGCCACATCAACTGAACGAAAGACAAATGGAAAACTGAGAAGTCATCAGTAAAATGTTGCTTCAATGGCACAAAAGAAATTGAATTGTGACTGGCGATAAAAAGGGGATTTCAGAATCCCAAATGCACAAAAATCATGGGTTGATCCAGGTCAACCATCAACATCAACTGCAAGGCCAAATCGCTTCCGAGAGAAGACAATGCTCTGTGTTTGGTGGGATCAGGAAGGGGTGGTGTATTATGAGCTTCTAAAATGAGGTGAAACTGTTGATACTGATCGCTACCGACAACAAATAATCAATTTGAACCACGCTTTGATCATGAAACGACCTGAATGTTCCAGAAGACACGGCAAAGTAATTTTGCTTCATGATGACGCACCATCATACACTTCAAAACCAGTTAAAGATACGTTAAAAGATCTTGCCTGGGAAGTGTAAACCCACCTGCGGTATTCACCAGACATTGCTCCTTTAGATTAACACTTGTTCTGATCGATGGCACATGCACTTTCTGAGCAAGCACTTTAAAACATTTGAAGAAGTGGAAAATTGGGTCTCTGAATGGTTTGCCTCAAAACAAGAAAAGTTCTATTGGGACGGTATCCACAAATTACCTGAAAGATGAGGAAATGTGTAGCTAGCAATAGACATTACTTTGAATAAAGCACTTTTGATGTTTCCCTTGAAATTATCATGTTTTCTTTAGTTACAAAATCCTCATTATTAACCTGTACACCTAGTATATACTAGAGGCCCAGTGCACGAAATTTGTGCGCAGGTACGATCCCTAGGTCTGGCCTATCAGGGCCATCTTCCCGAGCTGCTCGCAGCCGGCTCTCCCCCCACCGCCACCAATCCCCGGTTCTGCTTTTGCTATTGGGTGATCTATGCCTGACGGCTGGGGGAAGGAACCGAGAGGTCGGCTGTTCCCGCCTGCTTGCCGGCCCCACCCCTGCCATGGGTGGCCATCAGGCAATTGGAGACTGCCGGCCGGGAAAACAACCAAGAGATGGTCAGGGCGCCGCATAGTGACTGGTCCAGCAGTCATTCTGCCATTAGGATCACTTTGCATATTACCCTTTTATATATAGGACTAGTGGCCCAGTGCATGAAATTCGTGCACGGGGGGGGGGGGGGGGGGGGGTCCCTCAGCCCGGGCTGGACCCTCTGCAATCTGGGAAACCCCTGAGGGAAAAGGGCTAAACTGGGAGTCGGAAATCCCTCTTCGCAATCCGGGACCACTGGGTCCTAAACACTTACCTTTCTGGCTGGCTGGTTGGCCCTAAACACTCTGGCTGGCGGGCTCCCTGGCCTCAAATGCCCTACCCACCCTGATGGACTGCTTGCGTTCCAACTGCACCACCCCCCAGCCTGCTCACCCCCAACTGCCCCTCCCTTCCCGCCTACTCGACCCCAGATGCCCCCCGCTGGCCTGCTCGCTCCCAACTGCCACCCCCTGCTGGCCTGCTTGCCCCCCAAACTGCCTCTCCCTTGGCCCTGCCACCATGGCTTTGACTGGAAGGATGTCCAGAAGGTGTCCCGGTCTAAATTCGCATATTACCTTTTTATTAGTATAGAGGCCTGGTGCATGGGTGGGGGTCGGCTGGCCTCCCCTAAAGGGGGCCCTGGATCGGGGTGGGGGTCTCTGCTGGGGGCGGGGGCTGGCCTGGGCGAGAAGCCACAGGCAGTTTTCAGGCCGGCCATGCCAATTGGGGTGGGGGTCCCCGCTGGGGGGCGGGGCCGGCCTGAGCGAGGGGCCTGGGGTGGTTTGCAGGTCAGCCACTCCTCCAATCAGGGTGGGGGTCCTCACTGGGGGCTGTGGCCCTGGGCAGTTTGCAGGCCAGCCACACCCCTGGCTTTGTCAGGAAGGACGTCCAAAAGACATTTGGTCTAATTAGCATATTACCGTTTTATTAGTATAGATATAGAGGCCCTGTGCAGAAATTCATGCACAGGTGGGGTCCTTCGGCATGGCCTGCAAGGATCAGGATGAAACTGGCAATCCAATGCCGCCTGCCACTCCTGCTCAACCTGGCCCCACTGTGCCTGCTGCAGCTCACGCCCAGTCAGTCCCAATCTGGGGAAGCTCTGGCCCTCTGGATGGGCAGTGGGACACCCTTGCCAGCCTGGGATCTGGATCCATCCCGCTGACCTTAGCACCAGTTGTTGGGAGCCACCTGGCAGCCGCTTTTATTTCATCCTTATGGAGCGTCTAAGGAGGGGAAGCGGCTGCAGTCAACCGGTCGTTCAGTTGCTTAGGCTGTTATATATATAGATAGCTAAGATAGGGAAGCAACTTAAGTGTCAATGAATGAATGAAGAAATTTAGTATGAATACATACAATACTCATACACACAATGGAATATTATTCCGCCATAAAAAAATGAAATCTTAATATCTGAGTCAACATGGATGGACCCTGAGGACATTATGCTACGTGAAGTAAGTCAGACAGGGAAAGACAAATACCATATACTAATAATCTCACATGTGGAAACAAAAAACAAGAAACGCATAGATATAGAGAACAGTTGGTGTGGTAAAGGAAGTGGGTGAAAGAAGGGTCAAAACAAACAAGCTACCAGCTATACAATAAGACATGGAGACATAACTTACATCATGGTAACTACAGGTGACCGTTCAACATGTGAAGGTTGGAGGCATCAACTTCCAGCAAAATTGAAAATCCACATATAACTTCAGTTGGCCCTGCATATTCAGATTTCCGGCAGCAGATTAACCCTTGAACAACACGGGTTTGAAACTGTGTGGATCAATGGAGCTACACAGGTCAATTAGAAAAAACCCACATATAACTGGACCAGTGCAATTCAAACCCATGTTGTTCAATGGTCAATTGTATAAAAATACTATATTGAATATTTGCAAGTTGCTAAAAGCATAAATCTTAAAAGATCTCTTGAAAAGAAAAAGTTTTAACTATGGTGCTAAATGTTCTTGTGGTGATCATTTCAAAAATATAAAATTTTTAAATCATGATGTTGTACACCTGAAACTAATATACATGTCAATTATACATCAATTGAAAAAAAAGGTCAAGAGAGCATAAAGTTATTTTAAAAACAGAAAAAACGAATTTTGAGATAGATAGGTAGAGGCCTGAAAGAATTCATGTAAGCATGAAGACCTATAATAATGGTACCCACCTAACATGGATATTCCCTTATTACTATGTAAAACTTTTAAATGAGCATGTAAAAACATGCTCAACATCATTAGTTACTCAATATCATTAGTTCACAACTGTGAACAAAGATATAGAGTAACTGGAACCCTCATACACTGCAGATGTGGAAATATAAAATGGTACAAGTATTCTGGAAAACAGTTTGATAGTTCCTCAAAATGCTAAACATACAGTTACTATATGGCTTAGCAATGCTATTCATCTCTCCCAAGACACCTGCAAGTATATCTCTACATAATAACTTGCACATGAATGTTCATAGCAGCATACTCATAATAGCCAAAAAGTAGAAGTAACCCAAATGCCCATCAACTAATGAAGGAATAAACAAATTGTAGGAAATTCATAAAATGAATATTATTCAGTAATAAAAGAAAATGAGGTATTAACCCATAGCACAACATGGATGAACCTTAAAACATGATAAAGTGAAAAAAAATCCAGACACAAAAAGACCACACATTAAGTATGATTCCAATTATATGAAATGTCTGGAATAGGCAAATCTAGAGCTAGAAAGTAGATTAGTGGTTGCCTAGACATGGAGAGGAGGGAGGAAATGGAATGACTGCTGATGGGTACTGGGTTTCTTTTTAGAGTGATAAAAATGTTCTAAAATTCATTGTGATGATGGTTATACAACTCAATACAAAAACTGAACTGTACTCTTTAAAAAACACTAGTTTATAAAAAGGTTTCATTTTATACTATGGGATTATATCTCAATAAAATTGTTATAAAGAACTGAAAAACCAAGAGATCCTTTTACTTTTTAACTTACCAAAAACTTTGAATTCCTTAAATTTTTTTTTTAAATATATTTTATTGATTTTTTTACAGAGAGGAAGGGAGAGAGATAGAGAGTTAGAAACATCGATGAAAGAGAAACATCGATCAGCTGCCTCCCGCACACCTCCCACTGGAGATGTGCCCGCAACCCAGGCACATGCCCTTGACCGGAATCGAACCTGGGACCCTTCAGTCCACAGGCCAACACTCTATCCACTGAGCCAAACCGGTTTCGGCTGAATTCCTTAAATTATTAAACTTTAAATTACTTGAACTTAATTACAATTATGACTTTAATCTTAAGTAAAATTTAAACCAAATAACAATTTCTAAACAAATACCTGTTTGCACACCAGTATCCTTTTTAGGAGAGTTCGTAGAATTGATACAGGTGTTCATTTTACCACTGACTTCATCCAAGCCATGTCTTGAATTTGAAATGTTCTTAGTAGATTCATTAAATTCCACTTGAACTGTTATCAAATGGAAGAGAAATAAATTTTGTGATAACATAATAGTTCAGGAATATTAATAGAAATTATGAGTAGCAGTAACTATGCGCAAGTCTTTAATTAATCAATATGAACAATGCAAAATAATTTAGAAGGGCTAGCCTAATGTTTCTTATAAAAAGTTACCTGCATTCTAATCCCTTCTTGAATATAGGGAGACTACTCAATAGATGTCTCGATAAAAATAGGTACAAAATATTCACTTTACATACTCTGAGCAAAATAAAAAAACATAGATGAAAAGTATATTATTATTTAGTTGTACTCTTAAGACAATTTTCCAAATAAATACATATTATAAAGATACATTAGTTCAAGGTCTAAAATTCTTTTAAAAATATTTAATTAATAGTTGTGTTAAAAGTATTAACACTTTGCACTCCGCTGTCCCCTCTCAGGGGACATCGGAATTCTAGCATATCACTCGGATGTCCCCTCTCAGGGGACATTGCAGTTTATTAGTGATTACGGGGAATTGAGTTATTTCAACGCAACTTTTTGAGACATGCATGTTTCCCTGAAGTTTTATCTTGAAATGGCACAAGAAATTAAATCAAAATATCGTAAAATTACTAAGATATATACAAGAAATGTCAGCGGGTTTTGTGTCGGATTAAACAATAAACTACATATTCCCGATGTGGGACAAAGAAAACGGGACTGCATTGTGTGTTCTAACAGGAAAACACCTGGTGGCAGGCGTCAAACCACTTATTACTGTCAAACATGCACTAATCAGCCTGCAATGCATATTGGGGAGTGTTACAAAACTTATCATACTGTACAAAATTATAAACAATAAAATATTGGGGTTTTTTGCAAATATACATTCCTCGATGTCACCCAATTCATATAAGTCCAATATCATTATAATACGTTACTTGGTTCCAAAATTATACTAAATAATACGAGGGTCTGTAAATGCACGTTTCCGCCGCAAAGTAGCGTCTAGTAGCTGGTAGCCAATGTCCAGAATGGTTCGGAGTGCAAAGGGTTAAAAATAGTCAATTATTTAAAATCAACTTCAAAAAATATTACAAATAAAATCCTACTTAAGTATTTACCGCCAAGATTTTTAATCAATCTAGAAGTGTCATGTCCCTTTTCAGCCAATTCTCGGATTCTCTGTTCTTGTTTTAGTCTCTGTGCCAGCTCCTGTGCTCTCTGCATTGTCTGGAAGAGTTCATTTGTCTTGACAGTTATAATTTCCTATCAATATTAAAGTAAAAAAATGTATTAAGTAAATTACCAAACACATACAAACTTGAATATTCTCTCTCAGTAGATATTTTCTAAGCTCCTACTATGTACCCAGTTGTATTCAAGATACTAGAAGAGTCAACAGAGAAAATTCCTTCCCTCTGGTAGCTTACATTTTAATATCTTTTTTTTTTTAAGCAGTCAGTCTTTAATTTTAGTCACTCTGGTAGATATAAAATGGCATTTCATTGTGGTTTTAATTTACATTTCACTGATAACAAATGGGACTGAGCTACTTTTTAAATATTCACTGGCTGTTTTTCTTCTGTAAAGTGGTAAAGTACCTGTTCCAGACTTTTGCTCATTCTTCCATTGGGTTTTTGTCTTTTTTGTTGTTGGTTTATACAATTTTAATTTTTAAAAATTTTTTTAAATTATTATTATTGATTTCAGAAAGGAAGGGAGAAAGAGAGCTAGAAACATCAGTCAGAGAGAATCACTGATTGGGTGCCTCCCGCATGACCCCCATGGGGAATAGAGCCCACAACTCAGGCATATGCCCTGACCAGGAATCGAACTGTGACCTCCTGGTTCATAGGTCAACGCTCAACCATTAAGGCCCACTGGCCAGGCTATTTTTCAATTAGAGTTGATATACAATATTATATTACTTTCAGGAGTACAACATAGTGACTAGACATTTATATACTTACAACATACCAACAAGTCTAGTAGTACCTACCCATCTGACACCACATAGACATTATATTATTGACCATATTCCCACTGCTATACTTTACATCCCCATGACTGTTTTTATGACTGGCAATTTGCACATTTTAAACCATTCGCCTTTTTCACCTAACCCTCCCCTCCATCTGCCAAACCATCAAAATTATCTCTTTATCTATGAGTCTCTCTATGTGCTGTTTTATTTTGGTTTTTAGATTCAACATGCAAGTGAAATCATGGTATTGACCTTTCTCTAACTCACTCACTTCATTTAGCATAATTCCCTCTACATCAATTCCATGTTGTTGGAGATGGCAAGATTCCATTCTTTATTTGTGACTTAGTAATATTCCATTGTACATATGTACCACCTGTTTTACACATTTGTCTATCAATGAACACTTAGTTTAATTCCGTATCTTGGCTGCTGTAAATAATGTTGCAATGAGCATAGGGATATATATATCTTCATGAATCAGTGTTTGAGTTTCTTCAGATAAATACCCAGAAGTGGAATTGCTGGGTCCTTCTTTGTCTCTTGCTATAGCCTTTGTTTTATAGTCTATTTTGTCTGATATAAATATTGCTACCTCAGTTTTTTTGCTGTTTCCAGTGCATGAAATATCTTTTTTCATTGCTTTATTTTCAGTCCGTGTCTTCCTAGCTGAAGTGGGTCTCCTGTATGTAGTATATGTATGGGTCTTGTTTTCTTATCCATTCAGCCACCCTATTTCTTTCATTTGGAGCATTTAATTGATTTTCATTTAAAGTAACTATTGGTAGGCATGTAGTTACTCATGTTTTATATTTTTATTTTTTGTCTTTTGAATTACAAATGTTCGATGTCCCTTGAACATTTCTTGTAATACTGGTTTGATGATGAACTCCTTTAGCCTTTTCTTATCTGGCAAGCTCTTTAATTGTCCTTTGATTCTAAATGATAGCTTTGCTAGATAAAGTAATCTTGGTTGTAGGTCCTTGCTTTTCATCACTTTAAATATTTCATACCAATCCCTTCTGGCCTACCAGTTTCCTTGAGAAATCAGCTGACGGTTTGTGGTAGCTCCTTTGTAGGTAATTAACTGATTTTGTCTTGCTGATTTTAAGATTCTCTTTGTCTTTAACCTTTGGCATTTTAATTATGATGTGTCTTGGTGTGGTCCTCTTTGGGTTCATCTTGTTTAGGACTCTCAGTGCTTCCTGGGCTTGTATGTCTATATTCTTCACCAGTTTAGGGAAATTTTCCATCATTATTTCTTTAAATAGATTTTCAGTTCCTTGCTCTCTCTTCCCCTTCTAGTACTCCTGTGTTAAGAATGTTAGTATGATTGAAGTAGTCCCAGAGACCCCTTAATGTAGCCTCATTTGGGGGGATTTTTTTTCTTGTTGCTGTTCTGATTTTCTGCTACTTTATCTTCCAAATCTCTGCTTCATTTAAACTACTGTTGATTCCCTCGAATATATTCTTCATTTCAGTCATTGCATTCTGCACATCTGATTGGCTCTTTTTTTATATTTTCTATCTCCATTTTTTTAAAAATATATTTTATTGATTTCTTACAGAGAGGAAGGGAGAGAGATAGAGAGCTAGAAACATCGATGAGAGAGAAACATCAATCAGCTGCCTCCTGCACATCTCCTACTGGGGATGTGCCTGCAACCCAGGTACATGCCCCTGACCGGAATCGAACCTGGGACCCTTCAGTCCACAGGCCGACGCTCTATCCACTGAGCCAAACCGGTCTCGGCATCTATCTCCATGTTTATGTTTCCTGTCTCTTTGTTGAAGTTCTCACTGAGATCATGTATCTATTCATTCTTCCCTGAATTTCACTGATCAGCCTTATAACCAGTGTTTTGAACTCTGCATCTGGTAGACTGCATGTCTCCATTTTATTTAATTAGTTTTCTGGTGTTTTGTTCTGTTCTTTCATTTGGGACATGGTTCTTAGTCTCCTCTTTTGCCTGCCTTCCTGCATTTGTTTATATGTGTTACGTAGAACTGCTATGTCTCCCAGTCTTAGTACAGTGGCCTTATGGAACAGGTGTCCTATGGTACTGACTGGCTCAATCTACCTGGTCCTATGTGTGGGTTGTGTGTTCTGTGGAATTGACCCTCAGGCTGACTGGTTGTGAAGGCTGGCCTTGTTTACAGCACAGAAACTCTTGTGCAGGGATTTACCCTAATTTTATCAAGGCTCTGGTGCCTGCAGAGTCTACCGTTTCGGTGTATCCTTTGTGGAGGTGATTGGGTGGTACTCTGGTGTGGTCTGAAGCTGGCACTGGGTGTATTTGTTCTGGAGCATCTTAGGAGAGGCTTTGGTGCAGCCAACGGAGGCTACTGCCTATGCCCTGCCTGGGGCCACTTGGTATAAGACAAAGTTGATCTGAAGATGGTTGCCATTGATGCTGGGCTTGGTGGTATGTGGGAGAGGCTAAGCTGTGAACTGAGGCAAGCTGCCACTAGTGCCAGAGTTGGGGCTGCCTAGCAAGAGATACAGAACACAATGAGGCCCGATGTTACTTATCTGGAGTTTGTGAACCCTTGAGATTTCAGGACTGTCTGAGGCATGAGCTAAGACAGGCTGTTTGTATGGAAAAGCCACTGGAAGCAACTTGGGTGGGCCCAAAAGTTGGGTGGGGCAGGGTATCAGGGAATCAACAGATGGGATGACTGCTATTAGCCAGAATGATGGATAGTCAGATCAGGCATCGCTTAAGCCTGCAGGCTGGGTGTGGGTTGGGCACAACAAAGAAACAATGGCTTCTGCCAGGAGAAAGCTGGCAGAAGTCTAGGAGAAAGCTGACCATACAACCCTTGGCCTGAAGCCAGACAATTCAGCTCTACTCCATATGTCCACTGAGCTTTTCAAGTTGCTGCCCCAGGGCTGAAGATCAGAGGGAGTGACTGTCAGCAAGTAAGTCTGTGCACTCCAGGACACCTCCATCTTACTCCACAATCTCTGCTGGTTTTGAAGTCAAAGTTAGGGGGCACTTCTCTTCCTGGCAATGGAACCCTGGGCTGGGGAGCCTGCTACGGAGCTGGGACTCCTCGCTCCTCAGGGGGACCTCTGCAGCTGAGACATCCCTCTCAATTTTTAACCACTATATGCAGGTGTGGAAACAGCCAGATCCACATCTCTGTGCTTCCTACCAGTCTCCACCTGGCTGCTTCTGTATATCCTTAGTTATAAGACTTCTGTTCAGCTAGACTTCAGGTGATAATGATAGTTGTTCTGCAGTTTAGCTGTAATTTGGATGTAATCGTGGGAGGAGATGAGCACATTTACCTACTCCAACATCTTGACCAGAAGTTTAAGCTTTTTCTACAGCTTCGTTAGACCACAAATATAAGAACTTGTTTACATTCAATTTATACTAATAAAGCTTTCAAAGTTTCTAAACCAATGGTCAATTCCATCAGAATTCTATTAAGATTAAAAATAGATTACTAAGAGGTAAAACACAAATCTTATGGGCATTTATTGCAATTCAAGCAAAAGATACTTTGATTTTTTTCATGTATATAGTTATACATGAAAAAACAATACATAGTTAACTTTACATAGTTATTTCATAGTAGTTGACTCAGCCTATTCAACATAATGAAATCAGAACCCAGACCATGTGTCCCTTCACTAATTTTGAAGGTTGCAAGTGCAAAAGGCAAGAAATGTTGGCTTTCAGCCCCACCTCCCTACTCCAAAGGAAGTGCTCTATGTTCTACTTTGTAAACCTCAAGAATCTTTGGTAATTGATGTCAATGTATGAGTTGCTCTTTGTCAACTGAGCTTGACACCACCATACCTATACTGTCTGTACCATTTAATATAGCAATTCTCCAAGCCAACCAGATATCTATTCTTTTTATTTTCACTTATTTATTTTTTGGATATCTATTCTTTTTAAAAGACCCTTAATTAGCACAGAGGAAACCTCTAACATAGCAACAAACTGTATTATCAATCCCTGTCAATCACTCTACATATATATGCTCCTATTCACCAGAGAATACAGACAGAAAGGCCAATCATTTTCTTAACATTTCTAGAACATTAATATATTAAAAATCACTTAGAAAACATTTCAAGATCAAGCACGTGGATAATTTTTGTTTTGTGCTATAATAACTCATCTTGACTTCCTTCTTAGTGGAGAAAAAACCCAAGCAATATAGCATTTGTGAACTAATCACTAATCATTTGAAATAAAACCTTCTCCAGAATGCTCCTTAACTTTCATAACTTTCTTTATGCAAATCTTTAATGTTTCCCCATAAAGCTTCACAATTTCAAAATACATGAAAATGTTCAACTTTCAGTTATTTTTACTTTAAGAACACATCCACTTTTACTCTAAAATATTACAGTTAGAATATAAATACCTACTTCCTTCTGTTTTTGCTTAAGTATGTCTTCTTCATACTGTTTCTGCATCTCTTCTCGTTCCCGTGCTAAGCGAAGCTCCTCTTCTTGTTCTTCCTTCTTTCTTTGCTCTTCTTGCAACTGCTTCTTCCTACGCTTTTCTTCTACCTGAGCAGAGATGGCTTTCTAGACATAAATAATCATATAAATCACTGTCACAAACTTAAAAATACCCAGGATGCATTTGCTTTGGTGTTTCTAAACCAAACACCAAAACAAATAAGTTTATCAGTATACAGAAAGTAATTCTCATCCTGACGGAATTCAGGAGAACTAAAAATATCCAATATTAACTTAAGATTTAGTACCATTTCATATATGCAATCTATATATTAAAAATCTTCTCAAAATATTTAGCCAATCTGAGAAAGGCAAATATCACATGATCTCACTTATTTGTGGAATCTAATGAACAAAATGAATTGATTAACAAAATAAGACCCAAAGAGAAGAGATAAACCAAAGAACTTATATACTTATTAATGGCCCAGTGCAAGAATTTGTGCACATCGAAAGGAAATTAATTAGAATATTTTAATATCGCTATTTGCCCTTTCTCTATAACATAAGTATCAACCAAATTCATGATCAACAAATGACAGATCGAAACACGTGTGTGATTGGCACCAGCAAGAGCTTTGTCTGTATCATGCATGCGGGAGTCAACTAAGCCTCTTATATATATAAAATAAACTTGCTTAATTAGACCTGCTTTCTGATTTAGCTAAACTTTTTCCAGCCCAGTGAAGCACCCCAACTTCTCTTTCAGGTAATTGTCAGCAACACAGCAGTAAATATCAACACAAAGATTATTATTGTAGATCACGCAGGGAGAACAAAGAGTAAAATACTTAACTGCAGCAGTGTTTGACTATATTCTGCGCAGTCAGAAAACCTGAAGTCATTTTCAAGGTCCACCATTTCTTACTTCTTTTCAGTTGGGTCAAGTTTCTAAATCTCCGTTTTCTGGCTAATGAAAATAGGATTCCACCGAGTCTCCTATCTACCTACTCCAGGCCTTCTGTGAGGATCAAATGAGATGAGTCATGTGAAAACGCTTCACAAGTCATGTTCCTGGGCTGAAGAAACTGCAAGGAGGCTAGTCACTAGGGATAAGAAGCCGGGCATTGCTACATGAGGTCATTACCCGGTGCCCACAGCGACTATTTCCGGGCTGGGCTGGGGTGGGGCCATATTTTGCACCATTGGGTCTCGGCAGCGTCGGCTGTGATTTGGTGGGGTGTCGCTCCAGGTGGTGGTGGGGCTGTGTCCCACTTGGGGGAAGCCAAGTGTTGCTTTGTGGGTGCCAGGTCCATGGTGTCGATTATTGTTAAACTAGAGGCCCGTTGCACGAAGAGATTCATGCAATAGGCCTTCCTTCCCCTGGCTGCCGGCACCGGTTTTCCTCTGGCACCCGGGACCCAGGCCTTCGCTCCGGCTGCAGCAGAGAAGCAAAGCCTCTTCAGCCTTCAGTCTTCGCTGCTCCGGCCGGAGCCTGCAGTCTTCGCTCCACACCTGCGTATGCAAATTAACCGCCATCTTTGTTGGGTTAATTTGCATGCTCTCCTGACTGGCTGGTGAGCGTAGTGGAAGGACGGTCAATTTACATGTTTGTCTATTATTAGGTAAGATGGCCTGTCACTGGGGAGAGGAAGACGGGCGTTGCTACATTATGTCACTACCCAGTGCCCACAGCCACTGTTTCCAGGGTGGGCTGGGCTGTGGGCCACATTTTGTGCCATGGGGTCTTGGCAGCATTGGCTGCGATTTGGTGGGCTGTCGCTCCAGAGTGGTGGCAGGGCCTGTGTCCCACTTGGGGGAAGCCGAGTATTGCTTTGTCGGCACCAGGTCTGTGGTGCCGTCTCTTTGTAAATGATCAGTGCACGTCACAGCAGCTCCTGCGTTGAGTGTCTACCCCTGGTGGTCAGTACACTTCATAGCCAGAGGGACACTTAACATATTAACCGTTTATAGATATAGATATGCATGGACACAGGCAATAGAGTAGTGAAGACCTGGGGGTGTGGGGAGGGGCTGGGAGGAGGAAAATGGTAGATATCTGTAATAGTATCAATAAAAGATATATTATAAATAAATAAATAAATCTATCTATCTATATGCTTTTCTCCTGCTTAAAAAAAAAATTCTTCCCTTCTGCCAGCCGGTATGGTTCAGTTGGTTGAGCATCATCCCATATACCAAGATGTTACTGGTTTGATTCCCAGGAAAGGCAGATGCCCGGGTTGCGGGCTCGATCCCCAGTAGAAGACATATAGGAGGCAGCCTATCGATGTTTCTCTCTCCCTCCCCCTCTGTCTTCCTCTGTCTCTAACATCAAATAAAAACATATTTTTAAAAATCTTCCCTTCTGGAAAGCAGGTAGCTGTGCTATGAGTATAAACCTAATATAATGCCAGTTGGAGTAGGGATTTAGATTGATCAAGGGATTGGACAGGGCCAATGCTGTAAGTTTATAATGAATTTTTAATTTCCATTTACTTAGGTATCTATTGGCCATAAATAAGGCAAAGAACAATACTTTACAATGCAATACCTGATGTTCTAACTGTTTTTGTCGCCGCCTGTCTCGTTCTTCAATTTGAGCTGGGTCCAAGAGAGCAGTCATAGAACGGAGAAAGCTGGCAAGATAGATACATTAGCTATTTAAAACCACCAAAATATGAATTTAACAAGATACTAAATCATTTTTGTTTGGAATATATCTATAATCATTTCTACTTTACAGAAAAATACCAAACTTGAAATAGAATATCAGCTGAAATACTATAAATATAATAAGTCCTAAAAAAGCATACTTTTTAAAACATCAATAAATATTGAAGTATAAACTTACTTTGTTTTTTGACTGTTTGGGATTGCCGCACCTCTAACAGGTTTTGCTATATACTCCTCTTCTAAAGGTTCAATCTGGCTTCCAGTTGTAGGTGTATAAACACTGCTGATATCAGCTAGCTCCTGAGGGTCCGGAGAGATACAGAAGTACTCTGGTTGTTTGTATGTTGACCGAGAGGACAGCTGAGACTGAGAATCAAAATGCACTGCCCATCTGTCATGTTCCTCACCCTAATTATGACAAATAAGAATTGCTAAGAATGTTTCCAATTGTTCTCACATATAAAACCTTAAATGACAGTCAAACATGATTTCTAAGTCACCATGCAGAATAAGCATCATAAAAATGAACAAAACTGCCTTTTGTTTTGATTCCATATACGTTTAGATAAATAGCTTGGAGAATAAGAGCAATTCAAAGAATTAGGAAATTTCTAAAAAGTTACAAGAAACTATGCAAAATGCATTATTAAATGCATCAATGAAAGGGTCACAAGAATAAATGTAGAATAACTCATATAATCTAGTCTTGTCAAATAGTTTCAGAATATCTTTAAGATTAAAAACTTTGAAATTCACACCTATCAAAATGGCTAACATCAATAAATCAACAAACAACAAATGTTGGTGAGGATATGGGGGAAAGGGAACCCTTGTGTAACTGTTGGTGGGAATGTAAATTGGTGCAGCCACTATGGAAAAGTATGGCGGTTCCTCAAAAAATTAAAAACAGAACTATCTTATGACCCATCAGTTCCACTTCTGGGTATTTATCTGAATAAATAAAAAATACTAATTCAGAAAGATACATGCATCCCTCTGTTCATTGTTGCATTATTTACAATAGACCAGATATGGAAGCAACCTAAATGTCCATCAACAGACAATTGGATAAAGATGATGTGATACACACACACACACACACACACACACACACACACACACACACTAGGACAATAGCCATAAAAAAATGAAATTTTACCATTTGCAACAACATGGATGAACCTAGAGGGTATTATGCTAAGTACATTAAGTCAGACAGAGAAAGAAAAATACCACATGATTTCACTTATACGTGAAATCTTTTTTAAAAATATATATTTTTATTGATTTCAGAGAGGAAGGGAGAAGGAGAGAGAGAGAAACATCAATGATGAGAGAGAATCATTGTTTGGCTGCCTCCTGCATGCCCCACACTGAGTATAGAGCACGCAACCCAGGCATGTGCCGAGACCCGGAATCGAACCCTGAACTCCTGGTTCATAGGTCAATGCTCAACCACTGAGCCACACCAGTCAGGCTGTGAAATATTTAAAAAAAAAAAAAAAAAAGCCCAGATTGGCTCAGTGGATAGAGCATCGGTCTGCAGACAGAAGGGTCCAGAGTTCAATTCCAGTCAAGGACACGTACCTCGGTTGCAGACTCCTCCCCGGCCCTGGTGGGGTATGTGTGGGAGGCAACCAATCAATGTGTCTCTCTCACAATAATGTTTCTCTCTCTGTCTTTCCCTCTCCCTTCCACTCTCTCAAAAAATAAAAAATGAAAATAAATCAATGGAAAAAATATCCTTGGGTGAGGATTAACAAAAATAAAAATAAGAAACAAAACAGAAATGGACTCCCAGATACAGAGAACAAGCTGACTGACAGTTGCCAGATGGGAGGGGATTTGGGAGCTAAGTGAAAAAGATAAAGGGACTAATAAGTACAAATCGGCAGTTACAGAATAGTTACAGGGTGCAAAAGACAGCACAGGGAATATACTAGTTAGTATTCAATCTATAATAATAAAAGCATAATATGCTAATTAGACCGGACGTCCTTTTGGATAAAGCCCGGGTGCCTGCCGGTGGCTGGAGGGAAGCCTGGGTCCTGGGTGCCAGAGGGAAGCCGGTGCCGTCAGCTGGGGGAAGGAAAGCCCACTCTTGCAGAATTTCATACGTCAGGCCTCTAATAATATAATAACTATGTATGGTGCCAGGTGGGTACTACACTTATGGCAAGGGAGAAGCACTTCATGAATTATATAAATGTCTAACCACTATGCTGTACACCTGAAACTAATGTAATATTGAATGTCAAGTGTAATTGAAAAAAAATTTTTCACTTTGAAATTATTTTTTCCATTTATATCCATAAAACTTTGTAAGCTACCTTTGAAGATACAATTTTTTCTTCTATTTTTCTTTGCCCGTCATCTTCTATTTGTTTGTTCAACTCTTCAATCCATTTGCTCTGCTGTTCTTGTTTCACACCACTAAAAGGGTGCTCTGGCAGTACTGCTTCCTAAATAATAGTCATCAATACCATTTAAAGTACAGATTTTTTTTCCTAACCACTTTATATTTACAAATCTTAACCAAAGTTTACACAAATTTAATAAATTTATTTCTAAGAACAGAAATAACTTTAAACAAAAAATTCTAGTATACAAGAATTAAGCAGATATGTTTTGATTTTCAGAATCATATTTGTAACATATATTAAACGATACAAGATAAATACAGGGTGGGTGAAAGTAGGTTTACAGTTCTGAGTACACAAAAACACAGTTTATTCTTGTATTTTTATTAATTATTGTATTATTTTCTATACGTACAACGGTAAACCTACTTTTACCCTACCCTGTATAAGGAAAGGAAATTTTCTAATGAAAAAATAGAAAATTATTTCTCCAAAGCAATGATAGTTTCCAAAATTCTAACCTAAAATAGTTTCACTTAGATTTGGAAAGGAGTTATATTGATAATTTAAAATAGATGAATACTGTTTTACATTTGGCTTCAAAATACAAAAAATATTGCCTTTGGACCCAGAGCCAGGAGGATAGGAGACCAACTTTCTCTATTGAATAGTAATGTCTTTTTCTAGGATACCCTTCTTTTCCATTTCTGCTACTATAACCCTATCACAATCTATGTCATTTCAATAAGAAAAATATATTGTGCCGTGACTGATGTGGCTCAGTTGGTTGAGTGTCATCCCGTGCACCGGAAGGTCATCAGTTCAATTCCCAGTCAGGGTACATACCCAAATTGTGGGTTTGATGCCTGGTCGGGGTACATACAGGACACAACCAATCAATGTTCTCTCTCACATTGATGTTTCTCTCTCTCTCCCT